CTCTACTGGGTTTCACCTGCTTTACTACAACTTTGGGCAACTTCTTTCCTTCTCAAAACCTCTAAGGTTCCTGGCCTGCTTAATCCCAAAAGGTAGATATAGGCCAGTTTTGCTGAGACAACTTTCTAAGGTTTGGCTCCATAAACTCAATCTTAGTTCCATGGGTTTGGTGGTGGTAGTGAAAATATTTAAGGTCTGGGACCAGCAGATGGTGTGATAGTTGCATGACTGGACTACAACTACAGCTGCAGATGACCACAGTTTGGGTCCCAGACTCCATAACTTGAAGCTCATGCTGGGCATGTGTGTGTGCATGCCCAAGATCCTGAGAGGAGAGTGGAGGAGAAGGGATTTTGATGTGGCCGTCACCCCGGAGGGGGTGATTTCTCATTTTTTGCATCTCTGTCTCTACAAGTGCACATGCTCTGTAGCAAAAATCTCTCTAAAAAAAGAGAGAGAGAGAGAGAAAATATTTAAAATCTACCCTTGCAAATTTCAAGCATATAAAACGTGAGTCAGATTTCTCTTTAAGATACTGGTTTTACTTCCTTCGGATTTATACCCAGAAGTGGGATTGCTGGATCATAATGCAGTTCTTTTTTTAGATTTTTGAGGAACCTCCATACTGTCTTTTTATAACAGTCACATTTGAACATTCCTGATCGAAAAATCTAAAATTTAAAATGCTCCAAAACTCTTTGAGCACTGACATGATGCCTCAAGTGGAAAATTCCACACTTGATCTCAGATAACAGATCAAGGTCAAAATACTGCAATACAAAAATATTTTATGAAATCACCTTCATACTATGTATAAAAAGTGCACATGAAGTATAAATGAATTTTGTGTTTAGATTTGGATTGCATCTGAAAAAATATTTCAAAATCTGAAAACATTCCAAATTCAAAACACTTCTGGTTCCAAGCTTTTCAGATGAGGAGTACTCCACCTGAACCAAAAAAAAAAAAAAAAAAAAAAAGGAACTATGTGAAGTGGTGAGTATTTTAGTTAGCTTGATTGTAGCTGATAATTTGTAACATCTAGGTATATCAAATAATCAAGTTCTACAACTTAAATATATGTAATTTTAAATTGACAACTATACCTCTTTAAGTTGGGGGGAAGATTCGATCTTAGTTTCTTAAAAGTGGCTAGTCATATTTGGTAAATGAACATTACTCTCTTTTTTAAGAATTATTTCATTTAACTTTATTTATTATTATTATTATTTTCCAGTTTGATTAGAGAGAGACAGAGAGAAAGAAAGAGGGAAAGCAAGCAAACCACCAGGTCTGGGATTCAAACCACAGTTGGCAATGTGGGGGTCCAGTGCCCTTAACCACCCCACCACCTGCTGGTACAAACATTACTCTTAGATATGACCATGACACTAAATTCTTTAAGCATATAAATTTTGGTAACTCTATGGTATTCCATTGTTTATGTATACAATACTGTCTTACACAAATTTTCTGTGGGATATTTATGTTCTTTCTAATGTTCAGGGAGTTTAAATACAGTTGAGATGACTATTCTAACATACAAATCTTCCACATGTCTGATTACTTCTTTAAGATAGAGTTCTCTGAGGCCAGATGGTGGCACAGCAGTAAAACATGATGCTCTATGAGGCAAAGCAACATGGGAAGGCTCCTGGTTCAGGCGCAGCGACCTCCCTGAGCACACTCGCTTGCCCATGGTCTGGGGCTGGCTGTAGGCTGAGGTGGAGAGTGGCACTGAGACCCTGTTCTGGAGGTCTCTCTCTCTTGCACTCACGTTTAGAATAAATAAATAAATAAATAAGTTAAAAAATTTTGCTTCCTAAATCTAGAATTACAGATAACGGATAGAGCTTTTTAAAACATATTGTCACACTAGCTTGCAGAAGAACATATTTATTAATAAGTTACCTTTTCATAGGCCATTCTTACTATATTCTTTTCTGTTGTGGAAGTTTATATTCTCCTAAAAATTTGTGTGCTTTTTGAACATAAAAGCTCCTTCTCATAATATTGTGAATGTCATTTTCACAAGCTAGTAGGCATCATCCTGTCATTCTATCAAAATTGAATGTGATTTGGGACCAGCAGTTAGCATAATGGCTATGTCACTGTACTCCCATGTAGCCGACCGTGGTTCAAGTCCCGGACCTGGTGGCTTAAACTCACGCTGGGTGTGTGTGTGTGCGTGTCCAAGATTCCAAGAGGAGAATGGAGGTGAAGGGATTATGTTTTGGCCATCCCTCCTGGGGGGGAGGTGATTTCTCGCTTTCTATCTCTCTGTCTCTATCTTTCTGGTGAGCGCACACGCCCTATAACAAAAACCTCTCCCCCAGAAAAAAAAAAAAAATTGAATGCGATTTCAAAGTTGGTAGTAGTAAAAAATTTTACTTTTATAATACAAAGTGAGAGCTAAGCAAAATAAGTATGACAGTTTTTATCATTAGTAAATTTATATGGAAATTAAGCATCAGGGCTTGCCACGTGTATGTGTATGTTTATATGTTTGTGTGTGTGTGTGTATACACAAACAGGTTTTATATATCCAAACAGGATATACATACACACACACACACACATATAAAGTAAAATGGACACATGGGTGTCTAAACACTATGCATACTATCTAGCAAGTGATGTGAATTCAGTAAATATATCTGCATGAATATTTGAGTGATCAAATACTTAGTCAGCTCTCCACATCTGTGAGTTCAACCAGCTGCTGATGAGAAATGTTCCTTTTTTTGCTGATATGGACCGTGTAGTTAGGTCTAAGATGGTTGTTTCTGTACTGAGCATATGTAGACTTTTTCTTGTCATTTCCATGACAATACATAACAAATAGTATAACCACTAGAATACAAATAGTATAACAATGATTGGCATGACATTTACATTGTATTGGATATTTTAAAGATGTGTTAGATATCTAAAAGATGATTTAAAGTACCTGGGAGGATGTGTATAGGTTACATGCAAATTTTACCCAGTTTTCTATAAGGGACATGAATATTTTGCTTTTGGTATCCATGGTGACCTAGAGTCAATCCCTCCCTAGATAATATAGCAATAAACAACTGTGTTCCTCATAAAACTGGCCAAAGAAGAGCTTAATCTTGTATTTCCTTCTTGTATTATAAGGTTTGTTGTGAGTGCTTATGCTTTTGTGTGTCTTTGGCATCCATTTTTAAATATATTGGATTTTTCTATGCAAAAATGTGTCATGATTTTTCTGATGACCCAATAAATTAAATGTTCTCATGCCAGAACCACAATTCAGTCACACTTGACAGTTTCCAGTATTATAGCCCAACCCTGAGGCTCCAGCCTTTCAAGTGTCTCCACTTAGAGACATCTCTTCCACTCAGCAATCTGGGCTCTCTATTTTCCTGCCACTTCCTTTAAACGGACCATGCAAACACTTGCCCATGTACCTAAAGTGACCACTTCTCAGTCACGATGTGTCCTCCGAGATCTAGTACCAGCTTGCTTTAAATCCATCAATTAAACCTCCAGGAAGAAACCTGTTTAGATAATGCCCTGGCCCAGTAAAGGTGTTGGCCCCGCTTCCTTCTTCCTCTTTCTGCCCATGCTCCCTGACTTCAGAGGGTATGACCTATAGCTGTGCCTTGTACTCCTCCCCCAGGTTCTGTAAGTACTACCAAACCCGCTTAAACTTTCACATTCCATTTGTGTCACTGAAGCCCTTCCTGTGAACTGACCATAGGGTGACTTGGGCAAGTGGATCCCCTGCCCCGTGCTTATAGTCTGAGCTTCTGCTGGAAGAAGTAGGTACCCCCTGATTGGCAGAGAAACTCCAAGAATTTCACTAAAACAGTCATACAGGAGCCAGCAAGGGATGTGGGGGTTAAGGTGCTGGACTCTCACATGGCCACTACAGTTTGAGTCCTGGGCCTGGCAGCTTGCTTTCTTGCTTTCTCCTTCTCTCTCGGTCAAATTAAAAAAATACTACTACTACTACTAATTATTATTATTGTTAATAAAATAAATAAATAATTCTTAAAAATGAAAGCCAATCATATATAAATTTTTGCAATTCATCTCCAGTTTTGGGGCTACACTGATCGATGCTTAATTTCTTCCTTTCTTCCTTTTTTAAATTGCCAGAGTATGCGTATGTTCACCAGAAAGAGAGTGAGAGAGGAAGAAAATACCCACAATGGGGTGTGATCTTGTCACAATATTTTCTCCTCCATTTTTCCATCATATTGGGATGTGGGGCACTGCTCACATATGCCTGACATGTTTTTTAATCTGCTGGGATTTTAACCATATTTGCATGTGGAATCTAGTTTATATATATAAGTGTGTATGTGTGTGTGTATACACACACACACACATATATATATCTATCTATATATATATATATAGAGATAGATAGATAGATAGATAGATATATCTTGCATTATATCTTTCTGAGGCAACATAAGAGTAGCACCCATCCTCTGGACTAAGATTATTTGTGTGTATGAATGCACAGGTATACATGTTTTAAATTTATCAGCAGAACACACTATGCTACTGAGAAAGATGCTGTTTGAACAGATCTAAATTCTTTCCATCATCCATAGAATTTCTCTCTAGCAGAAAAGGCAAGTTCCATAAAAAAGGAATTGGTACAACTAATTTCTGGCAAGTGAAAATTCCGCATGACTGTGGGGTGGATCCCAAGTCTGACAGAGTTACTCCACCTTTCTGTAAAAGAGTTGACTTTCTTGTTGAAACCAGTCTCATGAAACCATTTATTTGAGTTGCCACTTTGTGCTCTGGGATTCTAAAATAATGAGTGTGTAGTCACCAAATATGCCAAAGCCTTGTCAAAATTTTATTTATATTGATTTCACTGTAGCTTTAAGATTGCAAGTATAAATGATCAAAATAAACAAAAGCATTATCATTGTTTTTTATATAACAACTGTATTTTCTTTACCGTGCCAATAAAGGAGACTGTCCTTCAATACTTGCATTTTCTCTGATAGGATAAATCCTGATGATTCTCTCTAGACCCTCCAGTAGATGAGCTCATCACTCAGGAGCCATAGCAGCTTCAAGGTGAAAGAAAACTTCCTCAGGGATCAGTGTCCCCTATTCTACACAGCAGAGACCTTCACCTTCTTCAGAACTCCAGGTTTGTATTTGGGAGAGCTTTGACATAAAATTGTGATGAAAATGCTTCTTTGCACCACAGAGGCAACTGTCTACTCTCAGGACAAGCCTTTAGGTCCTGTGGAGATGTTTTCCACTTTATTACTCCCAAGGCAGAGTGTCAGGGGAAGTGCGGTGAACAGTCTTGACTGCAGTCAGGAGTAAGCAACCTAAACAAATCATAGTAAGTCAAGTTACATTAGCTCTCATTCAGGGAAAAAGAGAACCTCGATTCTATGCTCAGGAACTACCATGATTCAAAGGAAGCTCTGAGGAGCCTCCCACCAACTTATCAACCACCTTAACAGTAAGACATTAGGCCCAGCGTGGTAGCTCAGGCAGTAGACTCTGCAGTGCTAGAGTTACATGGAATACTGTGGCTCAGATACCGAGTGAACCTGAAACATTCTCACTGAACACCGTGATCCTGGCTGGCTGGAAGGCTGGGCAGGGAAGCGATGAGGAACGGATCACAGTGTGACCAGACTCTGTCAAGGATTTCCATTCCTCTCATGGATAAAATAAAACAAGCTTAGGAAAAAAAAAAAAAAAGCAGTAAGACATCAGCACAGGAGATAGCAGAGAATCAATGCAAAGAGGTAACATAAACTTGCGTTCATCCCTGCATCTTATCTTGCAACATCATCCCAACCTCCTGACCACTTCAGTCAGTCACAAACAGGTATGTTGATCCTATTTTGTAGGCAGCAATATTTAGACTCAAGTCAAAATGTGCAGGATGAAGGCAAACTTAGGCCACCTCACACCAACCTAAGCAACACAAAGCCTTATTGCAGGGAGCCAAAGAAAAAGATTTATGTGCCCCTGGAAGCTATTTTTTATTTTTGGAAGTTATTGTCATTGAGAGCTGGCTGTTGTGAGCAAGATTAAAGTGTTTTCTTTGAGAGGCAATAGACAGATATTTTCCTACAGCTTCTGAAAGACCTTAAAAGAGAAGGTATGCCCTGCTCTTTTCATTCTTCTTATTAGCTCTGTGACACTGGGTGATTCTTTTAACTACTTGGAGAGCAAGCTTTCACTTATCCACAGTGAATCTATAGTTTCAGTTAGATAGAATTGGAGCAAAGATTTAATGTATGGAAAATGAATGGATATTGCTCAAAACAAAACAAGGACTGGATAATTTATGGTTCTCTTTATTCTCAACAAACATATTCTGAAATTTACATGATCATCAAGCTTTCCCTTTCCCCACTATCTTAATTTAGTTTACTCAGTCCATCTGTCAAGTGTACCAATAATTATTGCTATCTAAATAATACTTTTGACATTTAGAAATCCTTAATTTAGTTATTCATTACTAAAAGTATGTGAAAGAACCTCAGAGGAGCTGTGAGTTTCCTAAAATGATATGCAAAATTTTGAGTGAACTTGTGTCTCTCTGGAGAGAGACTCCACAGCTTTCATCAAATGTGCTCCTGACCCTAAGCAAAGTTAATCACTGTGTTATATGAAAACTCTAACTATCCAATAAAATTAACCTCATTATTTTGTAAATCAATAGAAAATAAGTGATTTCACTATTGGACTTTTCCAGAATAAGACTGAGTGTTATACAGAATCAGTCAGTTCCTCTAAGCTGAGAAGTGGGTATCTGTAAAAGATCTTAAAGGATGTCAAAATATTATTTGGCCTTGGGTTCAGATACTGGTGCAAGAATAAATGCATGACCACAAGGAAAGATTCCGGGTTCATATTCGGAGACCTTCCTGAGGAAGCAGGGGACTCACATGCCTGTGACACAGGGCCAACTGAAGCTGGGTATGGATAGCAGCTTCGGCACACTACTGGAGGTTGTGTGTGTGTGTGTGTGTGTGTGTGTGTGTGTGTGTGTGTCTTGCTCAAAGAAGACTTAAATAAATAAACTTAAAAGAAAAAGTAAATTATACTAAGAAAATTTATCTGGCCTTTCCTTATACTCTAAGTAGCGCTTTTTAAAAATAATTTCTTATATTGCTATTACCAGTGTTCAGTTGGAATTGAGTCTTAGTCATTGTAAGTTTGAGGCATAGAAAAATAAGCGTTCTTGTTGCATCTTGATGTCTCAAAGTCCATTCTAATGGTGCTCCTTTGATTGTTTGTATGACGTCTTACTACCTCTTCACACAGATCTACAGTTCCTACCAAGTTTTCAGTAAAAGACTAGAGACAACCTGTGTTAGGTGTAGGAGTTGTTTCCCATCATATCTACTCTGCTGTTACTAGAGATGTGAAGCAGTTAAGAGCCATACATAGTATTAAAGGAATATTTAAAAGGAAAAAAAAAAAAAAAACCTTTCCATAGACCAACTCAACCCCCAAAGGAACCTACGGTATCTCATGCACTGGAAGCCCAAATTTCAAACAGGGTGAGATTTAAGCCGGTGATTTAAATAGGTGAAAGGCTCTGTATCCCATTACTAATCCCAGAGCCATGCAATCCTCCTATCACCACAGTAATATCAACGAGAAAGGCAACAGGCAATGCCACAGGTTTAACTTTGTCATCTAACTGTTCTGCTTGAAGGACTCAGTGCTTGTCCACTCTCAGGGTGTCAACAACTTTTTTCCAGTGACCAGTGAGCAGCTGTTTGCTATAGTTGGCTAGGGGTGAGAGTAGAGGAAAAAAGATACAAAGGGAAAATAACATAAGTATTTTTTTTCCTTCAAAAAACTAATAGTCAAGTGAAAATACAAAAATAAGTATGTGAAGAACTTACAAAACAAATGTACAATGAGTGTAATGGTAAATGTTGGAAAAATGTATAAGAGGAGATATTCACAGATTAAAAAAAAGATTGGAGAGGAACTATAGGCTTCTAACTAGGATATTTATGGGAGGAAGTGTCAGGCTTAAGGTAGTGTGGGCCATGGGGATGGATCAAGTGAGAGTTCTTGAGGATAAAGAGAAATAAGATGTAAAAGCATAGTAGTGAGAAAAATGAAGCCAAGCACAGAGTGAGCAATCAAATTTGTTTAATTAGAAGAAAGACCTGTGGGAAATGGATAGTTCTAAAAACAAGCCTGGATTATATTTCAATATTCATTTGTTAAACTCATTAATTTATTTATCCACTATGTATTCAGAGACTACAAACCATGAGATGGTGCTTCTCCAAGCACTGAGATTACAGACTAATTCCCTGCTCTTATTTAGTTATATTCTATGGGGAGGAGACAGACAATGAAACAATAAACAATAACTAAAATGAAATACCATTGGAGTTTATTTGATGAATAGGGTCCTGAGGTCCAACCTTTTGAGAAGACTAAGATAGTGCAGTATAAAGAAGCATGCTTGGTGGAACACTCTTATTGAATTGTCAGAAAAGTCACGACATATTTTTGCATAAGAAAACATAGAAAAAAATATGTCATGACTTTTTTAACAATCCAGTATCTCAAGTACAGTCTCTGAATGGGATTAACTGAACTATTTGTCCCTGTGGGTCAAATTGTTCAATGATTGTTCAATGGAACAATTTGTCTTAATCTTCAAAAGGGATATTTTTAGCAAAATTCAATATTTCTCTGAAAGTGACTTCATTCTCTATTCTTACAATCTGTGGAAATCACAGAGAAAGACACTGTCGCTGTTATTGGAAATTCAGCTACACTGTGGTTGATAGTTTCAATTCCTGTCATAAAGTGCGCAAGTGCTACTTTGAACTGCATCCAGCAGAGCTTGGTGGTCCTGGTCATTAGGGCCATTATCCAGAGTTATCCACAGGGGTTTTGGTATTGTAGATACTACCTAGCAACCCAGTCATTGGTTATTTGGAAATTGTTGGTGGTCATTCTGCCCAAACTTTGCTTTGTATTTGGCAATGTAGAGTTTGGCCTGGTTCTACCACTCATTCTGATTCCTGGGCTGCATACAGTAGCATTTAGTCTATCCTTGGTTCCCAACAGTCTCAGGTTAGCCATAATGGTCCCATGTTGTTTTGTGTCACCTCTTGGTGTGTGTACCCAAAACATTGAGTCCGGTTGGAACAATTGTAAAGCAAAGTACAAGACAATGAAGAGAATTTGTTGCAATAGGTTGGACTCCTATTGGGCCAAATGTATGTCAATTTGGAAATAATGCTTTCAATTCACTTTGCTGTATGTATCAGAACATATCCTGTTCATTAATGTGGTGTTTTCACTTTATGTTTTAGTAAGTTTTACTAGAAATATTCAGGAATGAGTTCTTCAACTGACTACATATGAAAGACAAATTTGTTCAACTGATCCAAAATCATACTGATGCCAATGAGTTTGCACTGTAGATCAGGGGCCTTGGCTATTAGCTTGTATAGAACTCTGTGTAGAGTTTGACATTATCTGAATTTGTAGAATAAGAAGAAGGAAAGCATATGTCAACTGTATTTTGGAAATGGTGTACAGAGCACTGTTTCATTTTTCTCTTATTTTTAAAAAAGAATTATTTATTTAATTTTATTTATTATTA